TAGCGGTGTCACTGGCTACTGCATATGACGTCCTTTTAATAAGCAACGTAACGTCAGCGGTTTTCTTCCTTTCAAATTGCAGTTCTGAATGGACCACTAGACAAGGTACGAATTTAAGCGATCTGATACACATTTCTCAACCAGAATTTCACGTAGAAAACGATTCACACAACGAAAATTACGGAAACCAACTCCTAACGAAGATATTAACGTTTTTATTTCACATTGGTTACGAGGAATTACGAGGAAGGGCAGACAGGGCTCTGAGCTGAAGTGAAAGCAACCTGTCTAGGAGAGGCAACTCCGAAATCAAACCCTGGTCCTCCAGGTTGGGGGTTGAGTCATCGGGCTAACTCCCCGNTACGAGGAATTTGAACTGCCCGCTCACAAGAAACTCAAAACTCTACGTGAGTCAAATCGCCCACTACAACGGTTTCAGCAAGCTTCTCAATCGAGCGATGTTCATTTCCCACCATGTGTTGTTCAAACTATTAGCAATTTGATATAACTGAGCCAAAGCGTCAAGATTGAGGTTGCCAGATTTTTATATCGCAGAGACTGACATGATAACGTTTAGCGCGCGATGTGAATCACGTAGAGCATTGAGTTTTCATGAGCCGGTGGTTTGAATTCACGCATTAAGAATCGTTAAATATCTTCGTTAGGAGTTAATTTCGGTAATTTTCGTTGTGTGCATCGTGTTTTACGTAAAATTTTGGTTCAGAAACATGTATCAGAATGCTGAAATTCGTACCTTATCTAGTGGTCCATTGCAAAATGACTGTCATGCAAAAAATGGAGATGTTGCATGTGTGAGGAATTTGCGATTTGACCATTGATTCTTATGTAAAAGTTCGCGAGAAACACGATGGTCCCACTGGTTTTCTCTGAAATCAACTTCCAAACTCAAAAAAAGCTCTCAAAATGCGGCCAAAATGGAGGGGATATTCCACGCTATCCTGAGAGTCCACCTTTACATCAAGACAAACTCTCCATGCAAAGATAGGGAGCATAAATACATTAGCAGGGTTGCTGTGATTTCAGTTTTAGAGTCCCCAATTAAAGTGGCAGCCCTATCAATGCATTTGCTCCCTATCTGTGCATGGAGAGTTTGTCTAGATGTAGAGGTGGTCAGGGTAGCGTGGGATATCCCCTCCATTTTGGCCTCAACTTGAGAGCTTTTTTTGAGCTTGGGAGTTGATTTCAGAGACAACCAGTGGCACCATCGTGTTTCTTGTGAACTTTTACATAAGCTCCAATTGTCAAATCGCAAATTCCTCACACATGCAACATCTCCATTCCAGAATGACGTCCTTTTGTCACTCGACTCACTTGGCAACATGGGTTTCATAAAAGCGGAGTTTCTTCCCGGAACGCGGCAACAATGTACGTCACGATGTGACGACGTCCGGTCTTGGGTCGTTGGTCACGTCACGCGGGGTTGGCGTCACGGCCAGGGACAGAGGACTGTGGTTGGCGCAGCGGGAAGAGCGGCGCATGCGCATCGCGCTGCAGTCAAGTGACGTTATCCGTGTATTTAAAGACGATAGCTCATCGCGTCGCGCCTTTGAAGCTTTCTCGCCACTCGCCCGCCGCGTTTATCGGCTCCCGTGATGATGATGATACGATAGGGTGTCTTACTGCGTTATCCAAGCGCTTGCCTGTGCTGCCGTGCAACGCAAAAACACCGTAAACGCCACTTAAAATGTTTTTGAAACAATGTATCACAGTGGGGAAATTTGTGTACATTCGGACAATTTTTTGCAGAATTCTTTCGCAAATACTGTCAAGAACTTAACCTGAAAATTTGAGGTGAATGGGTGAAATAGTTTTTATTTTATTAAGTGTTACGTTCAAAACACGCGGGAAAATCTTGGTGGATTTACGGTGTTCTTGCTTAGGACGGTAGTGTGCCTCTCTCGTTTTGATGCTTGAAGGGACTTGATGGCAAAACCGAATTATCCTGTGTAACCGCACGGATTTTTTAGTAATCCATAGGCGGATTCAGAGGGGGAGGGGGTAGGAGGCGTGTGCCCATCCCTTCCCATTCGCCCGAATAGAAGGAAGATGAAAAAGTGAGGAAAAAGAGTAGGAAGGAGCGGAGAGAGGAAGAAGGATGACTTGCATTTGGTGACAATTCAAGACAAAATTGAATAAAAGTGCATATTTGATGCTTTAAAATTTTGAAAATTTTCTGGTGGAGGCTCCCAGACTCCCTAACGCCCCCCCTCCCCCCTCAATGTCAACCATATCGCGGACGTCCTACGGCGAAGACGGAACTGTCTTGAAACGACTATGAATATGCGTCGGAAATCAATATTTGTCATTTCTAAGAGTAAATCGACAACGGTGGTTTAGAACGAAAGCTTAAATTTTTCAACGCGCAGAGCCTGAACAGAGCTTTGCCTGCCCTAGTATTAAGCGTCATTATTGTAATCGAGCCGTGTGGGTTACAATGTGGCAACCAAGTGTGCACTATTAAATTACAGATATTGTCTGTGGCAGAGAATGTGGAAAACGGACGCTGTGTTCCGCATTGGGTCCTCCTTTCTCACCGTATCATCGTGTCCATGAAAGTGGCGATGCATCGCATGTTCCATTCAACGAAGTTGTCAAACCCGCTAACATTTTTTTAACAGGATCAAATGCTTCCTTCTTTTTCCCTCCGCTTTTTTGTGCACATTACGAGAGCTTGAGACCAGATGAATAATTATTGACCTTTCCTAATTAATTACAGACCTTTCCACCCCGAAAAATTTTACCGGAAAGTTGGGGGTCGAGCAAATTGTATAGTTAACTCGAGAATCTTTTTAGACGTTCAGTAGAGTTACCCGCATTACGACACAATCGGAAGTTTGGTGGAATAAATTGGACATCGTTTAGCAGAAAGGAACCAAGCCACATCAGCTATTTTCAAATTTAATTGGGCAATGTAATTTTTTACAAGAGAACGTTTGTGTGGATGCCTTTGAGAATTTGAGGGAATTTACTTCGTACTATGGAAAAAATCCACTGAAATTTGCACGAAAATCCGAACAACCGATTTCATGTGAACCATTTAATTGCCCGGTTGAATTTGGTAATAGCTGATGTGGCTTGGTTCCTTTCTGTTTAACGCGGTCCAAATAGGACAGCGTTTAGCAGAAAGGAACCAAGCCAAATCAGCTATTGCCAAATTCAACCGGGCAATTTCGACTTTCACAAGGAAACGTATGTGCGGATTTCTTTGAAAATTTTAACGAATTTGCATCGTACTGTGCAGAAAATTCACTAAAACTCGCACAAAAATCCGCACAGCCGTTTTCATACAAAACATTAAAGTGCGCGGTGAAATTTGGCAATAGCTAATGTAGAGTGGTTCCTTTGTTTTTTTTATTCGAAAAAAAACTATAGGGGTGGAAATTTTAAAACATCGCAGTGGAGCTATACGTGGGGTCGAAATGGTAGCCATCGATACATTGTGGCCTTTTACTTCTAACCCTGTCTATCGGTCAATTTTGTGACGGACGCAGCTGACTCGATTCCAAAAACTGATTCTGAGAGGTAGAGAGCGGAAAAAAAAAAAAAAAAAAAAAAAAAAAAAAAAAAAAAAAAAAAAATCTGACCACAGTCCGACCGCAGGAACCAAAACTGGAGCGCAGCGGTCTAGTTTCGTGGCTCGCCTCCTGATTTATATGGATTTCGGGGCATGGAGGCATGCACGTGCCCGAAAGGAGGCTGGTGCGTGTCAAAACGCTTCTAAATATAAACAGGTAAAAGAAGAGCTGGACCCGGGCTCAAGAACAAAAGATGGAATGAAAAGGACACGAGCGCTGAGCGCGGTTTGAGCTTTGCGGGAGACCGCAGTGAACCCCCCCCCCCCCCNTTCCTCCGGTCCATGACAGGGATCCCGGCGACGCGACGTAACCATCGCGGAGCACAACAGTGACGTCATTGCCAAATTTAATGCATCTGAGAGAGCTTAATGAACTGAGTTTTCAAAAAAAAAAAATAAATAAATAAATGTATCATTTTTTTCTGTTACCGGAAAGTGTGGCAAGATGCACTTTAAAACATGAAAAAATGTACCCTCTCCTGGCGGCGGCGGCATTTCACATTTAAGCACATGCATTTTAGTAGATTAGGTCATACTGTCATTAAACCTCGCCATTCATCGTTTAGTGTAGAAAACCAAAGATATTCTCAAGCTCAAGCAGAGTGACTGCAATATTTCAACGTGGATTTCACAACACAAAAATGCTACTTAACCACCCCCGTGTTTAAATTAGCTTACAATAGTGGTTTCAGGAGCGTTTTTGTGTTGTGAAATCTACGTTGAAATATTGCGGTTACTTCTTTTAGCAATTTAATTGTTAAATAAGGAATTTAATTTTTTCCGTGTACTTTTTTCTGCTGGTGAATAGAAGGCAAGAGGAATTATCAAAGTAAATCGAAACCATGGGGGGTTTGACTGTCGCAGAGCGCCAGAACGCGTTGTAGGAGAGACTTATATGTATGTAAATCGAAACCATTTCAAAGAAATTTCAAAAAAAAGGTCAAAAATCTGGATCGAAAAAAAAATGGGAGGAAATTGATCTTTATAAATTAAGTGGGATTCTTTTCATAAGCCTGAGCGACTAACTAGACCAGTGGAATTTTACGACCGGGTGCATTTGGTTCCTCATTAATAAATGCGATCTCCAACAAGCTCACTCTTGAACATGGATTCGGTTCTATGATACAATTATTTCAACTCCGGTGTGTTGCACAGTATCAAGCGAAATTGAAGGAATTTTTTTTTTGCATCTCGTGATGACGCAATGCCACGGCAATGGTATCGATTTTTTAGCAGAAGACTGTATAGAATTTATGACTGGAAGTTACATTGATTTTCCATCCGATAACTCGCTAAAACCTAAAAATATTGGAGAGAAACTGCACAGTCATTTTATTTTTAAGAGCTGAATTGTTTTGATGGATTTTGAAAGATCGTAATGTAAAGGAGAGGTTATTAGACTTACTCCCTGAGTGGAAGAGAGAGAGAATACAAGATTGGAACATTTTAGAGACGTGCCACGAAGCCACGATGAGACCAAATTTCAAGGATGCAAAACTCACCTGAAACATAAAGTAAAGAAAATCATTAGTCACTTCAAGTTAACGATGAAAATTTGTTGCTCGAAATACGCGCCTAGCTTATTTCGCGCCGGAGCCATGCACTCAGGGTAACAGGTGGTCAAAATAGCAACTGAGTGGAGAAATGGTGCTGGGTCCACACCATTTCGCGGGGAAACAAAGCCAAGAGATTCCAAAAATTAAAGTTAGAGTCCAAAATACATTTTTTGAACTCTAAATAATTTATTTTGGACTCTAATTTTAATTTTTGGAATCTCTTGGCTTTGTTTCCCCGCGAAATGGTGTGGATCCAGCACCATTTCTCCACCTTGTTACATACGGTTCGGGCCAGTCTTAGTGTTTTTTTTTTTTTTTTTTTTTTTTTTTTTTTTTTTTTTTTTTTTTTTTTTTTTTTTTTTTTTTTTCCAACAGCAACTGAGTGGGCGTGAATCTCGCGCCGGGATTTGTAACAGCGTAGCTTCGTCTACAAAATTCAATAGTCAGCTCGCTATCAGAACCATTGGCTCCACCTCACAAGCTGAAAGGGTCATAAGGCGCGCATCTCTATCCCGCGAAGACGCGTCGATTATGACAACTTCCCGCTTGTCGGGCCGCATCTCGGAGCTTCCGAGTCGCGTCGTGCCCCGTCATAAAAACCATCGGGCAGTGACTCTCTCCGCCGTTAATGAGACATCCGCGGCCGCCTAGTGTCAAAAGTGACTCCTTAATTTGGCAACCGTCCCGGGCAGGAGGTTAATCATTAGGTGAATTACACGATAAAAGAGGGCAATTGCGGAGACTGGTCGCTGGTCATTTGGCCGAGCCATCGCGTCCGGTCTGGACCCCCTTCCTCTGGTGTGAGCGCCGATCTCGATTTTAACATGGGCCCTGAAAAGCGAGGAACTTAATGTCGGATAGCGTTCATCTCGAAATTAAGTTACGTCCTTGCGTCTAGCAGGGACGTGGTGTGAACCCTGTTGCCGGGCTGACAGTTCCCAGACCCGCCTATTTCGATCCGTGAATCTCATCATCATCATCATCATCATCATCATTGACGTCTCTGGAGAGAGGATTGCAGAGGCTAGATTTGAGTATCGATTTCTTCGTGTGGAACAGAGGATTGGACTCTTAGTCGTGCCTTAAATGGCTTTCCTTGGGACTCACATATTGAGGGCTGAGAGAACCTTTTGCACGGAGAGAAAAACTTCGTGCATGGGACCCGAAGTTGAGGTCATATGGATCTTTGAAGTTTTCGGATCACGTATCTAAAAACTTGAGGTCCAGCTGCCAAAGTTCGGGTCAGACATCGAGGCACTTCGGTATGGACCGGAGTACTTCAGATGTATGACACGAGCCCTTCGGTATATATCGAAGTGCTTCAGATGTCTGACCCGAACTTCGGCAGCTGAACCTCAAGTTTTTAGATACGTGATCCGAAAATTTCAGAGATCCATATGACCTCAACTTCGGTTCCCACGCACGAAGTTTTTTTCTCCGTGTGCCGAGATTAAGTTAGCGACTTCGCCGCATTCTACAGTGTAAGTTACGCGAGCTGGTGTTCAGGGTTTTCCAATTATTCAGGGGATAGCTATTATATGTATGATAAATTGCAAATCTAAAATTACAAACATGGCGAAGTTTTCTCTTTGTCCTGTAAAATCGTGAGTTTCCAGATTTAAATTTTGAATAAAATCCACCAAAAATGTCAAAGTTTCTCTGTAAATTCATATTTTATCAAGGAAGTTTGCCAACGCTTAAAGGCTCATACAGCGTTCTTCCCTTGTACCCGTTCATATGAACTTTCGAATGCTGCAAAATTTCCTTTCATAGAAAATTATTTTGGAAGAAAATTTTGAATAAATTTCCTTGCAATTTTCGGATTTGTTTATTAAATTCAGAACATAATCGTCTGAGGAATTGGTAGAAAAATATTCATGAATGTTTTAAAATTAATGTCTAATTTCTAAAAAGAAGTTCGACAACACATAAGTGCCCTTACGACGTTCGTCCTCAGTGCAGCCGTTCTAAGGAGAAAGGCGGTATGAGCCCTCAGGCGTTGCCAAATTTCTTCTGGCAAATGACTATTTTTCTGGACAATTGTTGAATATTTTTCTGCCAATTGCTCAGATAATTTTGTTTGTAATTTGATCTAAAGTTTTTGAAAATTTCAAAGGAAAAACATTCATAATTTTCTTCCAAAATATACATTTTATCCAAGGAAATTTGGCAACTCTCGAATGTTCATACGGCGCTCTTCTTCAGCACGGCAGAATGGTTTTGAGACTAAGTGGAGCGAAGCGGCAACCTAGACACATCATCAGAACCACGTCGAGCATAAATATTGAATAGAGCTGTTCACACTATTCTTGTGATTTATCGCGCACTGTAACCCCTGCACTGCCCTCTGGCGATGGGCTACGGGATTATCCTCCGTCTGCATCTGCCCTTCCTGCCAATCCTCCTCTCCATCATCCCACAATTATCAGGCTTTTTGCTTGGTGCCAGCTAAATATTGAGCTCGAAAACGTTCATACTTCGATCAAGTTTTTCAAGCGGGTTTGGACCACTAGGCAAGGTACGAATTTAAGCATTCTGATACATGTTTCTTAATCAAAATTTCACATAGAGCACGATTCACACAACGAAATCACTTAAACCAACTCCTAACGAAGATATAAACGTTTTTATTTCGCATTGGTTACGGGGAATTTGAACTGCCCGATCACAAGAAACTCAAAGCTCTACGTGAATCAAATCGCGCACTTCAACGATTTCAGCAAGCTTCTCAGTCGAGCAATGTTCATGTGCCACCACATGTTGTTCAAACTATGAGGAATTTGCTATAGCTGAGCCAAAACGTCAAGATTGAGGTTGCCAGATTTGTATATCGTAGAGACTGTCATGATAATATTTAGCGCGCGATATGAATCACGTATATAGAGCATTGAGATTTCATGAGCGGGTGGTTTGAATTCAAGCATCAAAAATCATTAAACATCTTCGTAAGGAGTAAATTTCGGTAATTTTCGTTGTGCTTATCGTGTTTTACGTAAAATTTTGATTAAGAATCATATGGCAGAATGCTGAATTCCATGAATGGTAACTTCACCAAGAAAAAACTGGGATCAAATAGAACCCTGAATTCTCGGTAATTTTACCCTTTTCTTAGTAAATACACCGAGATTTTTTTTCAGTGCGTGCCTGAATGCAAAGCGCGAAACCTACATCCCCGCCCGATTCAATGGTTTATCGAGACCCACCGAGCCGCGAGCTGAGAGTAAAGAGGAGTTACAATCTTGGAGGAAACGAGAAAAAAAGTTGATTAAAGCGACGAGCACTTTAAATCTCGCTCTCTAACTCTTGCCGAAGAGCCAACGGTAGCCGCTCATCCCGAGCCGGGAACATCTAAATTGCAAGAGGCGGATGTTTATAGATCTCCCCGGGTAATTAAAATGGTTCGAGTCGAGCCGGCCTGTTTTACAAGTCCAACTGATACTCATATGTATCGGCTAAATACACTGACAGAGGTGACAGAGTAGAGGGTACACGGCGGGGGTTGAGGGGGTAAGGGGGTGAGAGCAGCTAGGAACTGGGTCCCGCATACCTGCGGAGCATATTTGGCGTAGGTTGATACAGATACCAGGCAAGGTTCCGATGGTATCTTGGGCGAAACTAGTTGCTCCACAGATTAGGTCCGGCGACAATGCCAGATTTATGCTTTTGGAAAATATCTCGGCCTATTGATACACTGGAAAAAAAAAAACATATTGGATCTAGAGTCCAGACTCTTAAAAACATCGACAAGAAAAGTACTCTTGATTCAATCAGAATCTAGCTTAAATCAAGAACCCAGCCTCTTGATTTAAGCGGATTTCGTTTTGATTCAAGCAAAAATCCGATTGAATCAAGAGTATTTTTCTTGACAATGTTTTCAAGAGTCTTGACCCTAGATCAGAGGTGTTTTTTTTTTTTTTTCCAGTGTAGATATCGAGTCTTGAGGCCGTGTTTTTTTACCCCTTAAATGAGGTAAAATCGATGAGCAATCCCTTCAAACACGTATCTTAAAACAAAAAGGCCGTCTTTTGCTGGAAGAGAAGCTTTCACAATCATTAAGGCAGTTACGCCAGAGAAACATATCTCTCTGATGGGAGTTTTGAAGAAAATCGTAGCTCAAATGGCTACTTCTAACTTTTGATGGCTGGTCTTTGAAAACATTTGGTACTATTTTGTTCCGAAATTAAACAATTTTCTACCGGCTCTTAAATGGGTAAAATAACCATAAAATACTTGATGACCCGGTGAGAATAGTGAGGAATTGTGACTGACACTTGATTAGCGTTCTGTTTTGAACTGTGAAAGGGTGATCTTGGTGTCTAAATTAAAGAATTCTTGGATGAGATAATGTATGACGGAATGACCTAATATGCTAAATTCAATATATTTATGCGGAATATGGACATCACAAAGTGGTCCATATTCCACTTTTAAATACATTGTTCTACTATTTCCAACGACTGAAAAACATTTATAAAAGATTACAATCTCGGCTCGCTAAGCATCCCCTAATGAAGCAATGCAATTTTTACGTGCAAATTCATCCGAGTGCAGCAAATATTCATTGTGAAATTCGACTGACCCCGATGAATATTTTGAAGATGTCCAGGGTATGACTTAGCCTTTCCCAAAATAATTGGAGAAATTTGACCGAGATTTCATTCCGCTCAATTTGTCGCTTCTATTATTAACCTTTATTGCCATACTTACATACACAGGGAAAATAAACACATCGGATCTAGAGTCCAGACTCTTGAAAACATTGACAAGAAAAAATACTCTTGATTCAAGCGGATTTTTGCTTGAATCAAAAGGAAATCCGCTTAAATTAAGAGGCTTGGTTCTTGATTTAAGCTTAAAGCTGATTGAATCAAGCGTATTTTTTCTTGTCAATGTTTTTAAGAGTCTGGACTCTAGATCCAATGTGTTTTTTTTTCCAGTGTATGCCA